CCCCAAAACCCCAAAACCCCTCTATATTAAAATCAATAGTACACAAAGGAATAATAATAGATTAAAGAAATGAACATTTTATATTATGATAAAGGTCCACAAGCAGAATTACTTGAGGGTATGACTAGTTTGATAAATTCTTAACAAATTTATTGATAGAATATGTATAATAAAGTAATGAGCAGTCATTTGAGTTGATTGATAGGTTTGAAAGTGCAGATAATAATGCTTCAAAGATAAATTAGAAACAAATTTAATGATAAAATGAAGAGGATGAGAATATGTATTTTTAAGATGAAGTGACTGAGACATAAATTGTTAGAAGCAGACTAGATTAAGTCAAAAGCGATGATGAGCAATAATAAGAGAAATAAATGCTCTCTAATTACGTAAAGAATATCCTAACAGAAAATTTATTAATGATTAAAATGGTTCTTCTAAATTATTCAGAAACATTAAAGAACAATAAATACAAATAAGCTCTAATTCAATATTCTGATGAATACAATAGCTCATATCATGAGTAAGTGAGCATTTTTGAATAAGCACTATTTGCTCTTGCATTTTGTTGCATTACTACTTTACTAACTTTAAACTATTCAATTCTCGTTGTGATAACCCCAGTTTTTGTCGTATTATCTATGAGATTGATTAGTATTAGAAGTACTTTCAGATAAATAGCCTAGGGTTTAGATGATTTAAGAGAAGAAATATAAAATCTAATATAAGTCTATCAAAAGCTGCTGGTAATCCTTTAAGATCTAGAATACTTCTCGAAGAACGATGAATAAAAGTAGCAGCTCAAAAAGATTATTCTTAATAATGTGAGTAGTATACTAGAAAAACTTATGAATTACATAAAGAAAGAAGAGGGTGATTTTGACCAATAAAATAATACAACTCTAAATCTAAAGTTAAACTTCAATAGATTTATGGAAATTCTAATAAATTTCTATTAGATAGATGTCAAATCAAAGATATCTAATCCATAAAGCAAGTTAGACCTTATATCAATTTAAATCTAATCTGATCTCAAGGTTTTAGTTTAATCCAGAATAGAATTACAAAATATTCATTTGAACTATAAAAACTAATAGATTTTCAAACAGGAGTTATCCTAAATTCAGTAGTAAGTTTAGCAAGAGTACATTTTAGAGAATAATTATACTATCGAACTTAAAAGATTTTCAGAATTCTCAATGAATATTAGCATTGAAGCTCATGAATTACTAAAAAATCTTAAGCAGTAACTCTTAAACAAAGATTAAAACCTTATTACCGTTTAATAAAGATTTCAGTAGTTGCAAATTGATATTGATACTCTTTAGACTCTCTACAAAAATTGCAAAAGCTTGTTTGATGAAGAAAATTTAGAGTCTTTTTTTGAGAAATAGAGATAATTTAAGTTCAAGTAGAGAGAAAACATAAAATAAGATGATGAAAATGATAAGGATATTGCAGAATAGTAAGCGAATAAATAGCTTAATCTAGATGATGATTTTAGAGTTAAATAACCAAGTAAGACTGAGGTATTTGAAAATTTCGAAATACTTCACTAACTTAAAAATGATTCTCAATAACAAAATAAAAATCAAGCATCAATTAACTAATTCATATCAGAACAGTAAAGATACCCTAATACTTCTTTTATGAATGAACTCAAGTAGTAACTGAGGAGAAGATAAGAAAGGATTGAAAATGAAGAAAACTTAGTCTTCAAGGAATTCGATCCGGTCTAGGGATAGTTTGTAGAAATAAGTAAATTAGATAGAGACATCAAGGATAAATAGCTGCAACAAAAACTCTTATAGATTAAGGAGGAAGAATAATAGCTTAAATTATAGTAGGAAAGAGAATAAAGAGATATGATGAGGCAAAATTAGTCCAGATCAAATCCATTTGGCTCTAGTGAAGGAATGTCTGATCTATTTGCAGAGTTAAGATAGAAAGCAAATCAAAACCTTGGAAATGATGAAATATTTGAATGATTTAATTTACTTCTTAAACTGATAATCTTAATTTCATAATTAAAAAAGCTTATACTAGATTTGATACATAAATTTAACTTTATTAAATTAATGGATACCAAGCAAGAGTTCGTTACTCTATCACAAAGATAGAAATCATAAAATTCTCTTTAAAGATCTATATTACAAAACTCAAATAAGAATATGGGCTCAATATAGCCCTATATCGAATCTTCTTAACTTAAGCATACTGAGAAAATTAAAGCATACCAAAAGGCAAGATAAGAGTCTAGGAATATCAACTAATCTTAAAATTGTACGATTATAAATTTCTTAACTTTGAAAAATTAGTTTAAGAATCATTATCATTACTAGCAAGCCATAGATCGTCATTTGGTGTTCCAGACCAGATCAAGAAGTAAGATTCAAGAATACAAAACTTAAAACAATTATTTAAATCCCTAAATATGCAGCCCATAGTTTAAAACTAGTCAAACAAACTATAATCCTTAAAATAATCTTAGATTACTAAGAGAACTGAAAACTCAAATTCTTCAACATAAATATTAAGCAAAAGAAGTAAAGATGGCCAGTCTAATTGAGATTTAAAGTCTTCTAATACTAACAAAACTTGGTTAATATCTGAGAAAAATAACAATAATGAAGTTAATCAATCTAGCGGCATGATTAAGATTAGGAAACTAAGTCTTAAAAAAGTTATAAGAAATTCTTCATTAACAGATATTAACAATAATTCAAACAGTTTACGTCCAGCAACGAGTGATTAAAAATTACCTGAATTACAAAAAAAGAAAAAAAGAGGATTGAGTCTATCAAAAAGTATAGCAAATTTAAACAAGAATCAAAATTAAAGTTTCTAGCCTTACTAAGATGAGATTAAGGTTTAGGAAAAAGATAATATTGTGAGGATCGATATATTCAAGAAATTAGCCTAAGGCTTGAAAGAAAAAATCAATGGTCATTAAGATGAATTTGATGAATTATAAAATACCTTAAGAGACTCATAAAAAAGAGAATTATACAATAATGAGAATTAAATTCATAAAAACAAAAACATATCAGTTTTAACTCATAGATAAAATCTAGAACTTATTTCATAGCTTAGCTAGGCAGATAAGTTTCTCTCTAAATTATCGTAAGATAGAGATTATTAGTTCTTATTCAAAATATAGCTAAAAATATTAGACTAAAGAAAAAGATTGCAAAACTTTGATCCAATAATCTAAAGATGAAATTTCTGAAGTACATCAAGGATTAAAAAAGATAGTGGCTGCATCAAATTTTCACACTTAAATTTACTCAAACAGGTATTAGACAGTAGATATCCCATCTGAATCTCCTGTTTTTATTCTGATGATACCTGCTGAATAAAGATCACCAGCTGTTTTCAAAATTGATCCTATAGTTGACTAAAAGCAAAGAAAGCTAATGGACTATAAGATCTTTTTTAGTACAAAGATTAAATACCCTAATGAAGATAATTGCGACAAAATATATCATAATGAATAAAAAATTATATATAAGCGTGGCTAATTAGGTGAAGAGTTTCCGCATACTTTCAAAATATATTTGGGTATATGGTCTAAGATCTAAATGTAATTGGCTATTACAGTTTCTTTTCCTTTTAACCCCGAAACGAATAGCAAAGGTATCAAAGTCTCATCACCATTGAAAGTAAAAAGAACTATTATTGACGAAGAAGGAAATGAAATGGAAATTGAAGTAATCCGAGATGTAAGAGCTATTGAAGAATCTTTTGATTGTAAATTGAGTTAATTTCATTAAAATATTAGGAATTTTGGATGAAGAAGAATAGAAGAAGAGTTAAGATGATTTCAAAGATTTTATACACAAAAATAAAAAACTAACTAAATCGTGGAGTGAACTTAAATTTTAGATAGATTATGAGAATAGACTGAAGAAATCTAACTATATTGCAATTGCTCAAGAAAAAAAGGTTTAGAAAGAAAAAGAACATCGCTAAAAAAGCTTTTTCCTATTAAATAAAAGAGAGATTTTAAATGCTTAGGTAATCCAATATCACTATTTAATTATCAATTTAGAGGTAAAAACAGCTAATGCTAGTCGAGTAGTATCAAATAAATTTTGAAAGGAATAAGATGCTAGTCAAGCTTCTTAAAACTAGAGAAATACTTTAGGACATTTTTGATAAATTTAAAATAAAACAACGGAAACATATTGACTATTGGAACAGATTTAGATGTGCTAAGATTATCGGAAAAAGTTATAAAAACCATCTAAAAAAGAGAGGAATAAATTTTCAAATGAGAATTCACTAGATGTCTAAAATGTAAATATCATATTTTCCTACTTCTGGGTAGCTTTTAACAATAATTTTAGGATTCTGACTTTCTTACTTAATACTGATCATGTTTAAAGATAAAATAAAGCTAATAATATTCTAAAATACGTACTTGAGAGAACTTCAGCGATGGATTAATTCAAGCAGAAAATGCAAAGGTTCCACAAAAGAGGTATTAAATATAATTCAAATTAATTATCTTAGTGAGAGATTCCTAGAATGCAAATAGAAAACGAATAGAATGCTTCAAAAATAGAATAACTTTTATGAAAGGATACTGGGAATAAGAGGTGCTATTACTCACAGGCTCACTCCTTTCATAAAGAAAGTTATCTAAAAAGTTAAAACCTCTAATAAAAAAGCTAAACTTGATTTCTGAAAATTTAATTGATAAAACTGTCAAACAGTACTTTTAATACTGCAAATTTAAATTCATAATAAAATTTCTTGATTGGAGAATCAAGAAGCTGCGATTCTAAAATAAGCCTATAAATGAGGAGTGGTTTGAGGAAATTTAAAATTTGAGGATAATGGTAGGATAAAGAGAAAAAATTTTGTTTGAAGATATTGGCTAAATTGCTGAATTAGCCCTCTAGAAAATACTTTAAAGATCAGGAGTACAAAGTCCTAAATAAGGATCCCCTAACTCTCCTAGAAGAAAGAAGAGTCCAAGTCCCATTAATGATAATTCTAAATAAATGTAGCAACTTGGTAGTCTTTAGATTAATAAATAATTTCCACCTTATGATAACAAATTAAATCCGAATGCTCATGGTTTGATCAGATTAAGGACACTAAATAATGATTAAATTATAATGGATGAATATTTGTAGCAAGATATAGTAGATCCTGGCCCCCCACCAATTTTTATGTTTATGCCTAGCAAAGATCAAATTAGAAAAATGATTCTGAAAACTACAAGATATGATAATAAAGGTGTGCAAATTTGAATGACCGCTTTTTAAATAAGGCCAGCTTAATATTTATTGTTAAAAATACTTAATTTCATAAATAATTGATTATTTAATTTAAAGACATATAACTGATGAAACTTGATTAAAAAAGAATATATGGACTAAAAGGCAAGGGTAAAGGTATGGGAGGTAAAAATTCTGGGAAATTTACAAAAAGAGGTCCAATATCAAAATCTTTGAAGGCAGGTCTATAGTTTCCTGTTGGAAGATTGCACAGACAGCTAAAACTTAGAACATAATTGAATGCAAGAGTAGGAGCTACTGCAGCAGTTTATTCAGCTGCAATTTTGGAGTATCTGACTGCAGAAGTTTTGGAACTTGCTGGAAATGCTTCAAATGATCTAAAAGCAAAAAGAATTACACCAAGGCATTTGACTTTAGCAATAAGAGGAGATGAGGAACTTGATACTTTAATCAAGGCTACTATTGCAGGTGGGGGAGTTATCCCTCATATTCATAAAAGACTTCTGACAAATATTAAAAAATCAAATAAAAAGTGAGCTTGTACAATAAAATAGTGACTATATATATGTATATTTCGAATAAAAATTTTTATCATTCATTCGGTTTTTATCTTATATCACCCCTACTCTAAGGGGTTTTGGGGTTTTGGGGTTTTGGGGTTTTGGGG